CCCGATTTGTAACCACTACGCTACCAGAGCTTGTGATTAGGCCAAGACAAATACCTGGATCTCTTCTCTTGTTCTGATGTATTGGCGCTTTCTTTTTTTCCAGCCTCCTATCTACCAGCAGGGCCATCAATTTTGTCTGTATTATCTACCAGTCATAGAGTCAAATGATCCTCTTTTCTCTGCTGATCCCGTTCTCACTGCCATTGCAGGAAAGAGACAGGCTGCGGTCCTGGAGCAGATGTGATAATCCCAGTTGTTTAATATCCTTCCCCTCAGGACCTAAAGCTAGCAAAGGCTTCCAGAGACTACCTGCCTCTGGTAGCTTTGAGTCTCCTATTCTTCCTTCTCCTATACGCAGTCCAAGAGCCCCTGAGGTCCTCAAATCCTAGCTCCATCTCTTCTAATGATGTCTGTTTTATTAAACACTTGCTTATTCTCCCCACAAAACATCAGCTTGCTACCAGGAAGCATTAGTATATAGCTTTAATTTCTGATGTTCCTAATCCAACTTTCTAAAGAAAATATGTCATATTATTTCTGCTTAGGATCTTTCTGCATCTATGAACATAGTCAAGAGTAATAACTCAAATCAGACTGCTTAGGTCCAAAACCTTCCATTAACAAGGCTGGATGGACTAGGTTACTTTCCGGTAGTCTATTCTGTGGGGGTGATGTTGATAATCGTAGTGGGACTTTTCTTACAGTGTAGTTGAGGGGATTCAGTGAGTTAAAATCCTGGTGTTCAGTAAACATTAGCTGTAGTTTTCTATATGTCCCATGGGAAATGCATTTTAAATTAACCTAATCTCTATTGCCTTCTAAGTATACATGCTGATGGATAAGAGGAAAGGGAAGAAGACTGAAATGACTATGAAATAGAAAAAGGGTTTTTTAAGATCGCCATAAAAAGAAGGGGAAAATAACAACTTTATGACACTCTTTGAGTTGTAATATGCTTTCATTTATTGCATAAGACATGGTATTTAGAACTGCCTTCAGGGGAAACAGGGGAGTCTTAGGAGCCCCATTTTACAGATGAGAGGTGAAGTCACATGGAAAAGGAAATTCTGAAACTGGAATAATGGTTTTCTGCCTGGTAGAGTGCAACTCGATGTGTTGCCTTTTGATTAAAACAAACAAACACATAAGAAACAAAAATTCCGTTCAACATAAAGCCCTTTTAAGCTGAGTAAGATTCCCTCTTCTTCCCTTCTGCCTTTTCAGTTGCTCCTGTGAGTTCAAGTTTCAAGGACCATCCATAGGGAAAGGGCATTGATTTGCCAGAGGGGGAAGCAGAAATGAATGGTTGATTAAAATGAGCTGTAGTGAAGAAAGCAGAGAGAAGCCTGCAGTATACACAGGAGAATAATATTTTCCTTCTGAAGAGGGCAGTATACAGCCAAGGTCAGGTCTGCTCCATACCCCAGGTTTCCTTCTCCATGTTGAAGGCTGGAGGCAATTTTGCCCTCAGGAGTCCAGGCATCTTGGGTTTCCAAGAGTTTATTTTTGATAGACAAACACATCGTCAAACATGAAATAGGATTCTTGGAGTTTGAGCACAGTTACACACCGCCGAGAGTCCAAGGGTACAAAAGTGCAAACTGATACTAAGGTGGTTACGCTAGATGGATGGTAGAAACACTTATGATTTCTTTTCCATGCTCACACCCTTGCCTGCCCTCCTAAGCTGGCCTCTATGAAATTGAACAATACCGCAGCATCCCAGATGGTCTGTAATGTTTGCAGAAGAAAGTGTGTTTTTTCTACCAACATTGGCACAACATGGCTTCTACTGCCCAAAGCAAAATACCTTTTTACAAACATCCTTTGCACAGAAATAAAACGGTAGGAATAGGGATCTTAGCTCCTGGGATGCATTTATCAAGCCAATCACAGTAATTATAATTAGAATACAAGCTAAGTGAAAGCTAAGCATGAAATACATTTCCAGAAAACCTGAACTGCATACAATTAAGCCCTGCTTGGTAGCATTTTGAGGTATGACATTATTGTATTTTGGGGGTGAGATTTTTTTGTTTTTTCTTAAGTATCTTTGGCTAGTTGCATAAAAGGCTTCAAGGATAGTGAAGAGGGAGGAATAAAGATACCCACTATTAACTGTCCAAAGTTTGCTTAACTGGTTAGTTAAAAATGTTTTCTTCCGATACATAACGGGTATTAATTTAACCCACATTTATTTGGGGGAAGTGGAGAAGAGAATTGAAGACATTTAGGGAAACTATAGTTTCAGTTCCTAGACTCAATTTTGTGAATACATTTGGCCAAAGATATTGAAAATCCTTCCTTGTTCTCCATTGTCTAGAGAAGAATGCCCACTCTCCTTAGGGGGCCTTCCATTACTGTTCAACTAAAAATTCTTCTCTCCCAGTCATGAGTTTTCTCAATTATATAGCATTTCTCTTGCTGGGGTCTGAGTATTTATCTATGTGGTTTTTCTCCACTGCAAAACTGTGACCTCCTTGAGGTCAGAGAGGTTCTCTATAGTCTGGGTCTCTACTACCCAGCACATGACCCAGCACAGAATAGATACTTGGATAATGTTGAATGAAGAATGAACAAATACAGAAGTGATGAATGAACGAATGAGGTTTACCACCTGCATGCAAATGAAGGCTCCAGGTACCCAGGCTGTTCACAGTTCACCAATGAGCTCAGTGTAGCACAGTCCTCAGGTCTTGGCTAAATTCTATTTGCTCAGCAGGTACAAATCCATCCTCCTGGGTCCACTTCAAACCTTCTCCTCCAGATTATGCCTCATTTCTCCCACCCTTTAATAGAAGCCAGCTGGCTCCACAATGGCAATTCCAGACTTTTCTATAGGCAAATATCTGGGTTGTAATTTGGGTTGGAAGGGATGCTTGTGTGTGTGTGTGGTGGTGGTGATGGTGAGAAATGATTAATAGATTCCTTAGAAAGAAACTTTTGCATAAAATCCCAGAGTGTTTACTTAGATTGTATTTTGGGGATCAGCTAGAGAATGGGATACTCTAGGTTACCTTGATATTGCCAGTATCATCTCAAGGAGCAGCTGGTGAGCTTGAACCACCGACCTTGCAGTTCAAACGGCTTTGCATGTTGTTGTTAAATGCCATCAAGTCTATTCCCACCCATAGCGACCCTGTATAGGGTTTCCAAGGAGCAGTTGATAAGCTTGAACCACCGACCTTGCAGTTCAAATGACTGCAGTCTGACGCATAAGCCCACAGCACCACACCAGGACTTTATGTGTGTGTGTGTGTATATATATATATAAACTGTAAGGTTGGCAGTTCGAACCCACCAGCTACTCTGAGGGAGAACGATGAGGCTATTTGCTCCCATGAGGCTCTGTAGTCTCAGAAACCCTATGAGAAATACTATGAGTCAGTTTGACTCAATGGCAGTGAGCTTGGTTTTGTAAAAAGTTTGTGGAAAATAGAATGAAAAGATAATGGAGAGGCTGGAGGGTTTGAACTGCCTACCTTGAAATTCAAACTGACCTTGCACTCCAGTACATTATCCTGCAGCGCCACACCAGCACTACCTTAAGATGTTGCTCTTCCCCTGGAAAATATTTATAAACTTTTTATTTTTGATAGTTAGAGATTTAGTCCTTTTGTGGCCCTGTGGATAAGCACTGGACTGCTAACCAAAAGTTCTGCAGTTCAAACCTACCAGCTCCTAATAGGAAACCCTATTACAGGATCGCTATGAGTTGGAACCGAATAGCCGGCAGTTAACAACAACATAGATTCAGAGAGGTCTCATGTAACCTTCACCCAGTTTCCCTCAACGTTGACATCTTGCATAACTATATATAGTACATCACAACAAGATCATTGACGGTGATACAATCCACCCACCTCATTCAGACTGCACCAGTTTTACACGCACTCGTTTGTTTGTGAGCACTTTATATTTCTGAAAACAGCTCTTTGGCTGGGCAGGGGTCCAGTCTGATCTATTTCTGAACAGGAGTTGACTCCGCAGGTACCCTTCTATGCCTGTACAGTGAGTGTCCAACAACCGCCCACATAAACACTTGAACTTAAAGTCAATGCGTGTGCAAGGGGGAAGAGCAACATTTTAATGTAGAGAACCGAAGTATCCTATATATTAGAGGGACAAAGTTGGTTGTTTTCCCCACAATTGTGAATTAGCTAGCTGGCTAATTGCTCCAAAGCAAGCCTGCTGCACACGCTCAGATCGCCGAGGAGTAGTTTTCAGTCATATTCCCATGCCTCTGGGGTTGGAGAAGTTGGGAGGGGGCCCTTGCTTTGCCCGTTGGGCTCCTCCCATCCCTACCCCCACTTTCACCCCTTTCTTCTCCAGGGCTGGACTGTTTCACCCCGTCTCTAGGCAACCGCCAGGCGCGAGGCGGGACGTCATTTCCTGAAGAGCCCAGGGGGGAGGGAAAAGGGGGGGGAGGCGAGAGTGAGGGGCTAGGGGGCGGGGCCAAGACTCGGCTGGCGGTGGCGACGGCGTCGGAACTCACTAGAAAACGCTGCCTCCGGCTGCTCAACAGTTCTTAAAGTGGGATCTTGAGGCCGCGTTGCTCTGTCTGAGCCCCATCGGCGCTGGGGAGCTGAGGCCCCCAGGCGTCCATATCCCCAGGCTGCGCGGGACATGCCCCGCATCCCCCGCCGGACACCCGCGCCGCTCCAGCGGCTGCGGTTCTGGGGGCTCTGGGACTAGAGCACCCCGCGCTCCAACTTCTGACTTTGGGGTCCCCCAGCCCAAGAGGAGCGGGCAGGCCGGCTGGGGGAGCCCCGGGCATGGTATGACGGGGCGGTCGGCTTTGCTGAGCCCCGATTCCCGTCACCGTCGTCTTCGTGTCCTCCAGAATGTAGCTACTGCCTTCGCGCACCCCGGACTCCGCCGCCGTCTCCGTGTTCCCCAGGCTCCAGACTCTGACTTTGCCTCCCCGGACTCCGACACCGTTTCCGCGACTCCGGAGGTCTCCGCGCTCTCGGTACTCTAAGCAGCCATCTCCGTGCCCCTCCAACTCAGACTCCAGCTGCTGTCTCCGGGCTCGCGGTGCGATCAAGCTGCCGTGCCAGGAGCCGCGAGTGCAGCAGCTGCCCCGCCGCGCTCCTGAAGTCCGTTCGGGCCTCGGCGGGGAGATGAACGCCCAGCTGGACGGCCTGTCGGTGAGCTCGTCCTCCACCAGCTCGCTCGGCTTGGCAGCCGGGTCGGGTGGCGGTGGGGGCTCGGGACTTCGGCTACTGTCGACCAACGTGCGCCAGCTGCACCAGGCGCTGACCGCGCTGTTGAGCGAAGCGGAGCGGGAGCAATTCACCCACTGCCTGAACGCGTACCACGCGCGCCGCAACGTCTTCGACCTGGTGCGCACCCTGCGCGTCCTGCTGGACAGCCCGGTCAAGCGGCGCCTTCTGCCCATGCTACGCCTGGTCATCCCGCGCTCCGACCAGCTGCTTTTCGACCAGTACACGGCCGAGGGTCTCTACTTGCCCACCACCTCCTCCTATAGGCAGCCCACCTGGGGCAACCCCGACGGCGCGGGGCCGGGTGAGGTGCGCCTGGTGAGCCTGCGGCGCGCTAAGGCCCACGAGGGCTTGGGCTTCAGCATCCGCGGGGGTTCGGAACACGGCGTAGGAATCTATGTGTCGCTGGTGGAGCCTGGCTCTCTGGCGGAAAAGGAAGGGCTGAGGGTCGGGGACCAGATTCTGCGGGTCAACGACAAGTCTCTGGCCCGGGTTACCCACGCTGAGGCCGTTAAGGTAGGGCTGTGGTTTGAAGAGGATTGTGGGTAGAGATGCACATCTCCTGAAGTGCTTTACCTACTGTGTGTCTTAGGGCAAATCACTACCCTCTCTGGGCCTCATTTTACTTAACTTTAAAACCGGACCATCTACTTTATATTGCACAATGTGTCAGACACTAGGCATGTAGTGAAAAGAAAACAGACTTGGACCCTGCCCTATTAGTACTTAAAGGCAAGTGTGGAAGACAGACATTATCAAATACTCAGCAAATGTGTGATTTCAAAGAGTCATGGGTGCATGCTTGGCATATAGTGGAGACTCAGTGAATGGCCTCCGTTGACGCTGCTGTTAGTTTTGGCGCTAGGCTTTAACCCCTGAAAAAAGTTTTGTTAACTCGTGAGAGCCGGGGCTGGGGGAGGCTGTCTGGTCACTAGGCAGAGGCTGTGTGTATCTTAGGACATGTAGCTTGCCCTCAAGAAGAACCTCCTGTCTCCATTTGTAAAATAAGGCAGCTAGACCTGGTAAGTGTTCCCTAATGGTTTGGGGAATGAGGCCCCTGCTTTGAATGTCAAAACTAACTCTCTCAGTCCTCATGAAAGCAATTGTATTTTTTGTGCCTGCTAATTGAGAAAAAGATCTCACAGCATGCTTCTAGGGATTTAATCATGTCGTTTAAAGGAATGTGCCTGTTTTCCAATCTCACCTTCTAGGGCCTTTGAAAGCCAGTCAGAGTGAGATGGAGAATATTTGGTCCATAGGGAGATCCAAGGACCCCTGCAGGTCTCCCCTACCCCCTTGTGTGTAAGAAATGAAGAGTTTTGTGGGAAAAGGCACAGTGACATAGATTCTGCTTCTGCAGGGAAAAGCCTTCCCAGGGACTTGGGTGGGCCAGCTACTCCCTCCACAGCCCCCTGCTCCTGCCCTGTTGGCCTGAAGGCAGGTGTTTTGAGCTCCAGTTGGAGGGCAGGCTGGCTGCAAGGAGACTGACAGGCAGTTGGGGCCTAGAGGGGCTTCCTGTGGCCAGGTGCATCCTTGGCTCCCTGACTGTACTTGAAACACCTCCACCTCATTTCTAACCTTGGCTTCCCTCATTCATTTCCTATCGTGTCGTGCCCCCTGAAGATTTTGGGAAATTCCTTGCAGCTTCTGGAAGGAGGCAAGTCGACTTGGCTTCTGTTGTGGGGAGGTGCAGCAGGCAGAGCTCACTGTGGGTTTTCATGCCCAGTCCTTCTCTGCCTCCTTCCCCTTGCTTTATTTAATGTTATATATATATTGATAAAGAAATAGTCATTCACTTTGGCCCTTAAAGGTATGGAGTTTCCGAATGATGCATTTATCCTCTAAAGATTCTTGATCCAAATGGTGATTTATACATTTGGACCAAATTTTAGTAGCAATTTAAAAAGACCCTGGTAACTTAATCATCACAAGGCTATATTTTGGAAGGGTGCACAGGTAACCCAGACATTAAAAACACTGACACAAACAGTTCCCAGTTTGAGCTCAATTATACAATTAGGGTTGAGCTCCTTGGCTGTGAGTTCCAGTTTTCCAGCAAGAACTCTCCATGCTACCTCCTCCATAGTTGTTCCTTGATGATACTCTGGGTCTGTTGTCTGTGTCTCCCAGGACCATACTTTGCATCTTTGTAACTAAGAGTAGTACCAGGCCATAGCTTTTTTATTTACTCTTATTGCCTCCAGAGTAAAATCTACATTCTCTTGCATACTTTTGCATCCCGAGAACTCATACTTGCCCTTAAAGGCGAGGTGGATGAGAGCAGAAATGCCCTTGAAGTGTGGAGTCTATGGCCCAGGAGTGTGTGTTTTTGGCTGAGCAGTTCTCTTGGTGTCCAATTGTCATTTCCCTCAGGAGGCCTCTGCTAGGGCAGAATGAACTCCTGCCTCAGCTTTGCCCCTCTCCCATCCATCTCCAGCCACAGAACCTGCTATGACCCCTTTGGACCCTTCAAAAACAACAGGCAAATGAGTGCTGCTTTGTGTCACCTTAACTCCAAGGGACAACAGGGGACAGACTTTCAGTGGGTGGAATTTAAGACGGAGGAGGCGGACCTTAGTCTCTGAGGCCACTGAGCCTTGGGGCAGCACAAAGGACAATTTGAAAGAACTGTTGGAGAGCTGTTGTCACATTTCCACGGAATTGAGACTCTTAAATCCCTTTACTGAAAACTAAGAGAGAATCCAGCTTCGCCACTGAAGCTGGGTGCACGCTGCCCCTACCCAGGATTTTCCCAACTGGCGCTCTTGCTTATAAGCTGCAGTGCTGTAGGGTATACAGCATCAGGGGTTTTATGGTAAAGATGACCAGTTCAATTATGTTTCATGTGTTTGCTCGATGGCGTCCCATGTCTTTTCCCAAATGGGTCCTGCTTTCCTCATTGATCTTGATTGTGTGTTGCTGGTAGGAAAGGTCAACTCTGAGGCGTTTGTCTTCTTTTATCTCAAGTCATGTGACTTTTTAAAAGCTGTATTTCATGGGTGGTAGTTGCTTTTTTAAGTAAGCTTTTTTTTTTTTTAGGTGTATCAGTTTTATTTTGGAGTAAATTTTAGATTTACAGAAAACTTACAAAGATAATAGAGTGTATGCTATGTACATTACTCAGCTTCCCCTAATGATATCAAAACCCAACCCAACCCACTGCTGTCTAGTTGGTTCTGATTATAGAAACCCCACTGGACAGAGTAGAAGTAACTCCACAGGGTTTCCAATCTTTATGGAAGCAGATTGTTATATCTTTGTTCTGTGGAGCGGCTGGTGAGTTTCAACTGCTGACCTTTCAGCTAGCAGCCTAGCTCTATGATAACTGTACCAACAGCTTCTCCCCTAATAACACTGTTACTATTAGGGGCCCTTGAGTGGGTCCCATCACATACTGATCCTGGGCACAACAGGAAGAAACACTACTCAGTCCTGCACCCTTGTCACCATTGTTTTGTTTAAACCCATAACAATATTTGAGCCTCTAATGATGGCATTTAAATAACCATGGTATGTTTGGTTAAGAAATTAACATTGATACATTACAATTAATTCAACCTCAGACTTTATTTGAAATTTGAAATTCATCAATGTTTCCCATATTGTCTTTTTTTTTTTTTCTTGTCCAAGATACCACACTGCATCTGGTAAAAGGTGTGTTTTCAACCTTAACATCTTTTTCTTTTGCAAATAGAAGGAAGGGGGGAAGATTCTTAGTATTTCAAAATAAGAGATTGGGTTGTTGATTGACTAATATTGTGGGTGTAATAAAAAGAAAAAAATTAGTAATCAGGTGATATAAAAGAGATTAGGAGAGATTTTATGAACCAGAAAGGATCCCTTCGTCCCAGTGAACAGATCTTTAGAGAGGAAACAGAATAAACAAAGTTTTCTCCTTTTCTCTTTCTGACAAAATCCCTTGTTACCCAGAGTAGTCCGGTAAGGATTCTATCTGATGTCTAGTGCAGTTTCCATTCTTCTATTGAAGTCTGTTTGCTAAATCGGTAGTGACAGGTCCAGATAAGGGAAACCATTTACTGTTTGCAATTATGTTGAAACCCTTGATTCTTGGCGGTGGGGGTGGGGTGGGAAATCTATCTTAAATGAACAAGGGCCAAACTTACAATCACAAAAGAGAAGACCTTTCAAAGTTTTCCAGCCAAAAGAAAGCTTGATAAATTAGTCAAAGAGGCTACAGACTAGAATGTCGCATTGGACTGTGTCACACACTTGCTGTGTGACATTGGATGAGTTACTGTTCCCCTCTGTGTCCCAGACAGATGGGACTGTGGGCTGTATATAGTCCCTTCCAGCTGAAACAGCCTGTGAGTTCCTCACTATATGCTACACAGAAGGCTAGAAAGTCTAATGCGATGGGGTTTTTTTGTTTTTGTTTTTGTTCTTTTTGGAATTGCTTTTGTTCAAAGCAGAGTAAGGAAAGTTGGCTAAGGATTGGGAGACAAGGATCTTGGCACTGTTGTGTAGCCTCCTACTAAATCAGGAAATTGATGGGTTACACACTGTACTGATGAGAACTTGACGGCTGTCCTGCGATCCAAGAACACCAATTCGGTGTGATTCTGAGCTAAATGAGGGAACAACTATAGCATTCTGGCATCAACAGCTCTACTTTGGGAGCACTCAAGAATCAAATCCACTTACCTGATTGCTGTTGATTCCCCTGATTCTGCAGGTGGCAGAACACAGGGTATTTAGGTGCTGCTGGAATATGTGTGTGTGTGTTCCATCTTGATAAAAATTAGACGACTTCATTATAGCTTCAGCATTCCCATGAGTAAATCCAAAGAGCATATTAGAATCTGAAGCATTCCCGAAGTTAAAAACAGTTGCTGGCCTTCTCATTTAATTAGCGTTCTCACACCCTCCCTTCCTTTGCAGAATAACCCTAGAAGAATCTGTCCATATTAATATAAGTCATTATATTTGGTCCGGCAGTTTCTAAATGATACATTTGTCATTTTTCCCACTGTACATGGTTAGCTAAAGCCGTTACAAATTATTACCACTTCCAACTTTGTCTCTGAAATGGAGCTTCTCCCACTGGCCTCATCCCTGTATTCTCATTTGGAAAGTGAAGATAGTGCTTTCATGAGTATACACAGACCTTCCTCTGGATTCATTCTCGGCTCCTGTGAGCCCTGCCAGCAATGACATGTTGAAAGCTCACTAAGAATAAATCCTTTATTGAATAGATATTTGGGTGCTGCATATCCAGACAAGTGTGATGCAGTACATTGAGTCCACTTCTTTAATTTAGTCTTGTATATTTATTTGGCTCAAGCTGACGCTCAGGGTTTTAGAAAATTACGGTGCCTTTGTAAGGAGAAGAAGAAGAAAAATCTCAACTGGTTATTTACTGTTCAAGTCAAAGAAGCATTTTAGAAGCGTGGAAATGAATGCACTTATTTTTAAGAATCGATATTCTGTAGAACGTTCTGGACTTAAAGCTGGACATGAAAGAGATCTCGAATCAGCCCTGCTCGATATTTGTGCTT